ATGAACTTTTTTTGTGTGGTTTTGTTGGGGGGGGGGGGGATGATCTCCATAATGTTTGCTGCTTGGCAAGGACTGATGTTGTCTGGGCAATCCTAGACCTGCTTTCTGGTCGTGACCCCAAGTCACTTAAAACGGATCCTAAATATTTGAAATGAGTCACCTGTTCTAATGTGTGACCTTTAAAACGTAGTTTGGTGAAATTCTGCCAGCTAGATTATTAGTCATTACTTTTGTGGGTTTTTTCTTTTTCTTTTTTCTGCGTTTATTTCCATGCCATACTTGGTTGATGTTTCATCGAGTAAATTTACAAGCTCGACTAGTTCTTGTTCTTCTCCGGCAACCCCATCGATGTCATCTGCAAACCTTAAATTTGTTACAGTTCGACCTCCGATACTTACTGTTCCATCGTGATGTTCTAGGGCACCAGTCTAAAAAGATGTTAAACGTTGTTGGAGAAAAGAGACAGCCCTGCCAGACTTCTACGGTTGTCCGTTCATCGTGTCAGCACTGCTGACCTTTGCATAGAGCTGTTATGTAGTACGTGTGAGAGTTTTACCCATATTGTATCTTTTGATAGTGTCCCTGAGCACACCCCTTTAAAAAGAAAATTGAGGAAAATAACTTCCCGGACGCCCCTTGTATTTGGGTCGAAGTAATAAGCTAAGCTATGTTACTGGGATATAGTTGACCATAAATAGTGCGTAGAATGGGAAAGAAAGAATGAAGGATAACCGTGTCTGGGACAGTAAGGGTTAAAACAGTTATGTAGTATGTGTGAGCTTTGACAAACAGGCAGCTACGAACAGGTAGACTCAAAGACGTGCGTGCATATAGCACGTACGAAGACTCTCCCTCTCTCACATACACATGCTGATACACACATAAACACACACACACAGAGGCAGCAATACACAGCTGTAGGCAGTGTTAAGCATACATAGATGTACTTAGAGAGCAGGGAGATAGACGAGACAAACGACGCACACATATACTGTAAAGACACTGAGATAGGCAAACACGTGCAAAGACATAAATTCAGACAGAAACAGCTACATGAACACACAGACAGATAAACATAGTTGTGTGTGCGCACACACACACACACACACACACATGCACACCACACACAGAAACTCACACACACATACACACACATTGACAGATATACCACACACAGACACACACACACACATAACTAGATCTCTGTGGAAAAAGCAGCACTACCCAACGTAACAATTTCCCGACTGCCCTAAGTGGGGAAAATATTCACCCCTGGATTGTAATGTCTGGCGCTCACAGGATGACCTAGTTTGCACTCTCACGTGTGGGTGCGTGGACTCCCGTTACCCTGATTAGAGTCTGACTTGTGATGAGGGAAGTTCGTTTTGGGTGGGGTTTACCCTGGAGTAACTGCGATGGCGTGAGGATTCACAACACCAACAACACTAATATTGCTGTTTGTGGAATGTTTGTGTTGTTTTCACTTTTAGTAAGTAGTGTTCATTATATAATGATAGCAGAGTAGGGGGTGGACGCCATAGTTCTCGTTGTAGTAATTTCATGATTGTTTATTTTCAACTGGATTAGCATCCTTACCAGTCGGGACTGCAGGCCAAACCAAGGTAGTGTGGCATATAAGGGTGCCCTGGTTATCACTTTTTTTAAAGTTTTTTTTTTTTTTTTTGTTAACGTTGATGGTCTCAAGGTATGGTGTCCGCCCCGAGTGCTAGATGTCCCGGGTTCAGGCCCCGGTGAAGGCTGGGATTTTTTTTTCTGTTCACATAGACTTCCAGTAATTTTTCCTGGTCTCTGGGTAGTGAGATCGGACGCCCGTGTGTATTGTTGCAGACGTAAAAAGATCCCTTGGCATTTGGAAATATAAAAGAGTAGCCTAACTGCGCTGTCCGGGGAAAATAGATAGTTAAAAATCTACCCAAAATATTGCAGGATCCTCGCCGGTGCTACAAAGTTCGTGCACAGTGATGAGCCACTTCGGACTAAGACTTGAGTTAGAAGTAGAACGGAGCATGTATGGGTTACTACCCGTGTGCCATGATGTTGATCCGTTGTTTTCAAACTTCAAACTTTTTAACGTTGAAGGGATATTTGTTGTTTTCTCAGTTGGCTTGCCATCCATATAGAGATGTTGTACGTCTCATGTAGTCATACCTGCGTGGAGCGGTCGGGAGGCAGGAAACAGGGCGATTATTATTCAGAATGTCATGAAACCGTAATCCGTTTGTAGGATTTTGCTGTGGTAACTTGCCATCCAGATCCTTACACGCATAGAACTGCAGGTCACATCTGGCTAGTATCGCTGTTACGTGTGTCTTTAGAGGTTGAACGGGGTATCTTGGACCTGCCTTGTTGGTCTGTCGATCAGATTGAAACTGTTCAGTCTTAAGATGGTGCGATAAACATTTTGGAACCAGCCTGGAGAGGAAAAACTCACCGATTGATCGAGTTAGTTAGTTGCTTGTCCTTTACACGACATTACAGAACCGACCGTCAGGCGTATTGGGTATACAGGGCTAGACCTATATTTTTATAGACCAATTGGTAAGTGATGTAGTCAGTATCACACCGACCGCCTTTACTTCCCAGGACCACACCCGGTGCTCACTCAAGACCAGGTCGACCTGGAAGTCAGGGTCATTTTTGAAAGAAGAAAAAAAGTCTGGCTACGTCAGGACGCAAACCCCAGGACCTTCTGATCCGCAGGCGGGGCGTCTAGCCGCCAACGCCATGACGACTTCTAATCACATTAACACTCTCTTTAATGAAATCTACCTTCATGTGCCTTTTTCTATGGGTACCTTTGTTGTAAATACCTTTTGCAACTTTGGAAACGGTTTCAGTTGTGATAATATTACCGGTGATGACACTTCCAGTAAAATAGTGTTTGTTTCTCAGCATACGAAATGATCTGTTGTCGCCTCGTGTGACTTAGACATACGGACTCGCACCGTAATGTCGGGGTGCCGGGTTCGATCTCAGAAGCCGGCTATTTCACAGCAACCGCTTTGTTTTGGTTTCGATAGTGGTATTGCAAGTGTATGTATGGGTGTTTGTGTATGAATGAGTGTATGCATAGGCGTGAATGAGTGTGTACATAAACATGTATTGCTGTTTGTGCATGTGTGTATGTTTGAATGTAAGTGAATGTATGCGTATGAGGGTCTGTATGGGTACATATGTGTAAGAATTAGTGGGGATGTGTGTATTATAATGAGGTCATGTGTGTGAGTGTATACATGTGTGTGTGTGTGTGTGTGTGTGTATATATATATAGCTAGGTGTTTGCATATGTATATATCTGTGTGTGTGTGTGTGTGTGTGTGTGTGTATTTGTGTATGTACATATATATATATACCTGTGTGTGTGTGTTGTGTGCACGTGCTTGCTCGTGTGAGCCTGCCTTTCTGTGTACCAAATTGTGCACGTTTTAAATTGATATTTTTTGTTCATAACATGTCTTGGTTTACATGGTCATCGATCTGTTAGATCTGCGCGTTCCCATTTCCAAATACCGAGAAATTTGTAAGTTTCAATATTTTCCCTATCGTCTGAGAAGAGAAGCCATCCGATCCACTCCCCAAGCAGAATGTAAAAGCGTACGATCTGTTTGCCTTTTGTGTAAAAACTGAAACAGTTAACACTGGGAGACTTTTTATATGGTTTCCGTTGTCTAATGGCGGTGAGTGGAGGGGGCGGGGCACAAATTTCGCGTATTGGGTCGAATGGCACAGATAACGCAGCCTTGCTGTAAACCACAACACAACATGCCTGCCCGCTTTTTTAGGGCAAATGGAGGGGAGGAGAAGGAGAAGGGGAGGGCGGGAAGGAAGGAAGGTAAAGAATAAGAAGAAAAAGAAGAAGAAAGAAAATTAATTATGCCGTAACCATGCTCGCGGTAACCATGCACGCTGTTACCATGCAAGCTGTTACCATGCACCCTGTAATCATGCAAGCTGTTACCCTGCACGCTGTAACCATGCACGCTGTAACCATGCACGCTGTTACCATGCAATCTGTTACCATGCAAGCTGTTACCATGCAAGCTATTACCATGCACGCTGTAACCATGCTCGCTAATACCATGCACGCTGTAACCATGCACGCTGTTACCATGCACGCTGTAACCATGCACGCTGTTACCATGCACGCTGTAACCATGCACGCTGTTACCATGCAATCTGTTACCATGCAAGCTGTTACCATGCAAGCTATTACCATGCACGCTGTAACCATGCTCGCTAATACCATGCACGCTGTAACCATGCTCGCTAATACCATGCACGCTGTAACCATGCACGCTGTTACCATGCACGCTGTAACCATGCACGCTGTTACCATGCAATCTGTTACCATGCAAGCTGTTACCATGCAAGCTATTACCATGCACGCTGTAACCATGCAAGCTGTTACCATGCACGCTGTAACCATGCACGCTGTTACCAAGCACGCTGTAACCATGCACGCTGTTACCATGCAAGCTGTTACCATGCAAGCTGTTACCATGCAAGCTGTTACCATGCAAGCTGTAACCATGCAATCTGCTACCATGCACGCTGCTACCATGCACGCTGTAACCACGCTCGCTGTAACCACGCAAGCTGTTACCATGCGAGCTGTTACCATGCACGCTGTAACCATGCAATCTGTTACCATGCACGCTGTAACCATGCAAGCTGTTACCATGCAAGCTGTTACCATACACGCTGTAACCACGCACGCTGTAACCACGCAAGCTGTTACCATGCGAGCTGTAACCATGCACGCTGTAATCATGCAATCTGTTACCATGCACGCTGTAACCATGCAAGCTGTTACCATGCACTCTGTAACCATGCAGGCTGTTACCATGCAAGCTGTAAACATGCACGCTGTAACCATGCAAGCTGTTACCATGCACGCTGTAACCCCTGATCGACTAGTAAGACATCATTCATAATTATTGCAGATGCCAGACAATATTGTCGTTCTATTGTTTCCCCAGACTGAGCCTCAGTGAAAAGGTCAGGCTGTTCTCCCAGCCGCGAACGCTCGAGAAGCAGCCGGCAAAGGTTGAAGCGCCCGTGGTGAGACGACGCAATAGGAAATTGGCATCGCGGTTCAACACGCAGGTGAGTTGTTATTGTATGCTTGTTTTTGTTTCGTTTCGAAATAAGGTATATATAACGAACTAGGGCCCAGCTCAACCCATCTGCACACTTATGATTAATGGAGTCCGGCTGGAACACTGTTATTGGACGTTACGTTTGTCTCCGCCTTAACCTGTGAGACTCGCAAGTGTAAGTGCCAGTGACGTCAGCTTGGTTGACGCTCCTACCGGCGACCACGTGTGCTTTATATTAGAGGATGTGATCGCCTTTAACGACCCCGTAACATGTACAACTGGCTCTAACCCCGTCCCACATTCCCCACACATTAAACCTAGGTCCCACGAGAGAGTGCAGTCTATAGCAGTAGACCGAAACGCCCCTGTAACTTTGGGCAACATGGACAAGCCAGACCAAGCATCAATGAAAGGTTACCTAGTGTGTAGATGGGCGGAGCTGGGTCTGAGTTTGTTACTAATTCCCGAAAGAAGGCTTGTGGGTGCTTAGCTTGTTGGTTGTGTTGGTTGGTTTATTAGTAAGGCCAAAAGAGCCAAATGTAAAAGGATTGTGCATTCCTTATTCTGAACCTTTTGAAAATAAAGTTCATTCGTTCGTTCTTTAGTCAGTCAGTGAATCACCTAGCTATTCTATCAGTAGTTAGCACGTTAGTTTGCAGTTAGCCTGTTAATCAGTCCTGTTATTAAACGAGTCTCCTAGCCACCTCCTCCTGAGTTTGTGGTACTAGAATATTACAGTTCTGCTGAATCATTCCATCCCCACCCCAACACCTCTAACTTCCCACCGATTGCGAAATCGCTGCCTTGTGACTATGGTCTGTATTTATGTTTAACGTACTGCTCGCTGTATGAAGCAGAAACATGAAGCAACCCTTCATTAACTGGTGCCTGCACAGAATAGAAAGGATAGGCCCTAAACGGTGTGACGAGTCTCTACTGCCGAGCTTAGGGAAACAACTGAACGACTTGCACCAATCAAAAAGTGTGCAAAAGACGCTGGCGCATGATATAGCATCAAAGAAGTCTTTTTTTTTACTTTTAGACTTTTCAACGAACAACAAAAACTGTCAAAATCAGGAGCAACAAAAAATGTCAAAATCAGGAACGGAGCAAATTACCCTTTAGGCGTCTTTTATAACCGGTCAACGCTGGTAGGAAAACCACTAACGGCGATAAAAGAATAGGTTTGGAGTCACGTACATGTGAGGGTATTTTACTTGGAGACTTTCCCGTCCCCGTATGGGTTTAAGGGTGCCATTTTGGTGTGTGTGGGGATTTGGGGGTTGGGGGGGGGGGGCACTGTCATCCTAACAAAGCTGTTGTAAAAGGCAGCTAATAAAAGATGTTTCTTTCGAAGTCTGAGCTTGTCTGCAAGAGAGGCGAGAGACCAACAGTTTGCATACAAATAAGCCAGATCTATGGAACGATGTGCATGCAAAACTCAAGTACTGGATCGTGACCAAAGTCCATACCTGGACGAATAAGCAGATCTTTCGTTCGGTTTCCAGCTGGTAAAGAGAAAAAAACAAAAAGTTGTGTTCATCAGGCTACGGATCAAACTACCGCTCTCGTCGTCAGCATCATCATTGTCCTCATAAGCCATCGACTATTTCTTCTTTTTCTTCTTCTCACATGTAAACCAGCTACTGGTCATATTGAATGCCACTACACACCCGCTTCACAAATAAAAGGCATAAAACATAAGAAACACATCTCACAGGGCATTCAACTCAGTAGCTCAGTCAGCGAAATCGTAGACTACTGTCCATATGTGGAAACTGCATTAGCAAAGCGCTGTCGGAAGCAAAAATAACTTCGATAATCGGCCATTTTAACGGAAATAATTCTCTAAAAAGCTGTATTAACATAAAATTGCATTTGTGAAACAAAAATGGGAATCCGTTTAGGCTCTTGCAAGTTGTGTGGCCTTTAAACCTTTAGCTTATGCATAAATCCAGCAGTAGTTACCTCCAACACTTAGCAATCCCTTGCTTACACGGGGAGCTTAGCAATCCTGTGCTTACACTGGGAGCATTTTAACAATCCGTTGGTTACACAGGGAGCTTAACAATCCTGTGCCTACACGGTTAGCTTAAGAATCGTGTGCTTACACGGATTGCTTAACAATCCTCTGCTTACACGGGGAGGTTAGAAATCCGTTGCTTACATGGGGAATTAACGCACGTGTCTTGACTGACTGACTGACTTTCTACCCCACCAGGACATCACACAAGCGATTAACACCCGATGACACAAAGTGCCACCATGTGGATGAGGATCACCGTGGAGAGGTCCCAGAAACCGCGTTCAGACAATTGGCCATATCGATGGCCTGCCTATACTGCGGTCCCTGGCAAAAGCCAGAGTGGGGCTTCAAATAACAAAAAATTACGTCCTAAAAAGGACATAGGGAATAATAAGTACTGCACGTGTCTTCAGATGTAACAGTCCAGTATGTGTGCATCGTGGACAGAAAACACGCATGATGCCTAGCCATTTTCAAAGTGAATAACGCCCGCTGTGTGTTGGCCATGTTCTGGTTGTTAGTGAGAACAACACACGCTGACTCACGCGCAGCCATACACTTGCCAGGGTGTTCGGTTTCATCCCTTTCTTTTTATTGTTATCAGGGGTTAGCGGTTCTCCATTTTTGCTTTCTTTGTTTGTACAGCGATGCGTTTTTTTTTTTTTTTAGAAACAGTTCGCTTCCGTTAATTAAGTTTTTGTAAATCATTACCACATCTGTGCAAGACAATAAGAATGCTAAATGTTGTGATTCTGAGCCTCTTTTGTCCTCGTTGTCGCTAACTTCTTCTCCTCCTCGTTACCCTTCTTGATTACCTCCCCTTTCACTGTTGTCGCCGCTCCCGTCATTGCTTATTTTTCTCTCCCCTCCTCCCCCCCCCCTCCACCGTGTATTAACGTCTGTTTTTTTTTAAAGTTTGTGTTTATATACATTTCATTTTATTTAACGTATATTATTATATTTATTTACCATTTTGCATAAAATAACTATAATAATAATAATTATTGTACTACTAAGCACTTTAACAAGGTGACCCCGCCCACTAGAAAATTATAAGGGGCTGAGAATTCTCCTCCCCCCCCCCCCCCTCGTTTTCGCATTATTCCTACAAATGTGTGTGTCATTCCATGTCCCTGCCGTGTGTTGTAGAACCCATTCATTGCAACTGTGCTGTGCTGTGAGTTACAGCTGTGCCATTTGTTGCAACTGTGCCATGTCTTACAGCTGTGCTGTAGAAAGTGACCTCTATTTCTGTTTGCAGCCGGTCACAAATGAAGAAGTAGAGAAAGCAGCAGCCTCCACTCGGATCTCTCCACTGGCTATGAGTTTGGTGAAGCCTCCAGATACCGAGATACTAAAGGTATGGAGGACAAACATTAAGTTATTTAGGGTATGAGATCTGTATAGACACACAGACACTCAAGGTTTGAGACCTAAATAGACAGAATAGCAGTGAAATGGACAAGCTGAGATATTCAATGTATGAGATATCTATAAACAGACAGACAGACACTGATATACTCTATGTATGAAACCTAAATAGATAGAAAGGCAGAGATGCAGACACGGATATAGATAGTGTGTGAGATGTAAATAGACAGAAACACAGAGATAGACGGGCACTCAGACACTCAAGGTATGAGACATCTACAGATTGATATTGATATATGTGTGTGCTTCACTTAGGATAGGGTTGTATTTCTTCTGTTGTATGTTTACACATCAGTTAGGATAAGGTTTATTTCATATAGTGTATGTTTGCTTCAGTAATAAGACTGTATTTTTTCTGTTGTATGCTGTGCTTCACTTTAGGATAAGGTTGTATTTATTCTGTTATATGTTATACTTCACTTAGGATAAGCTGTATTTCTTTTATTGTATGTACTTGAATTTTATTTAGGATAAGGCTGCATTTCTTCTGCTGTATGTTGTGTTTAACTTAGGATAAGCCTTATTATGTTATGTTATCACGGATAAGCCTTATTATGTTATGTTATCACGGATAAGCCTTATTATGTTATGTTATCACCTTTAGTGCCACTGCACATTAGGCATTCCCATGCATACTTAGTCCTTCAATTTTTTTATGTTGTATATTATGCTTCCCTTAGGATAAGGCTATATTTCTTCTCTTGTATGTTATAATTCACTTAAGAAAAAGCTGTTTTTCTTATAGTGAATATTACGTTACACGTAGGATAAGGCTATATTTCTTCTCTTGTATGTTATATTTCACTTAAGAAAAAGCTGTTTTTCTTATAGTGAATGTTACGTTACACGTAGGATAAGGCTATATTTCTTCTCTTGTATGTTATATTTCACTTAAGAAAAAGCTGTTTTTCTTATAGTGAATGTTACATTACACGTAGGATAAGGCTGAATTTCTTCTTATCTTATGTTATCTTCTTCAGTGTCACTGCACATTGGGCTTTCCTGTGCATACTCAGTCCTTTGATTTCTTATGTTGTATATTATGTTTCACTTAGGATAAAGTTGTATTTATTCTGCTGTATATTATATTTCTCTGCAGAAAAAATTTTATTCTTATAATGTGCTTCCAATTTCATTAATTTCTTCTACTGTTCTTCTTCTGACATATGTTATGTCTCACTTGTAGCTTTTTCTCTACCTGTACTTCAGATATCTATTACCATGATGCTCTTAAGATTCCTTTTGCATGTTATACTGAACTCTTTTAGTATCAGAAGATTCCAGAGGGGAAGGCAAAGTGAAGAAATAACCATGATCAAAACCTTGAGTGCATTACTTTCACAGTGGCTGGCGGTTATTGGGAAAGCCAGGTTTCTTTAGTATATTCTCACCAAATGTTGACATTAAGATAACAGAATATGCTCAGGAACAAAATCAGTGGGTAAAGTCATTCACGCATCAAGCCTTACTTGGGACTGAAAGCGTTAAGGCTTGTTTTAGTACACGTTTCCTGCTGTATGGAGTACGTCGGTTAGGACGGCGTATGTTGAGTTTGCGTTAGAATTTGTTTGTGGCATTTTGTCAGTTATCATTTGGCTACCTCGTATCATCAGATAGGTGCAAATCTTCCAGAAGGTAGAGTGGCTAGAGTATTCTTACAACATCACCCATCATGCTGTGACTAAACAAGTTACTGTGCACTTGGTGTTGCCTTCACAAAAATGCCGGTTTTGTTATATACCACCCCCACAGTATACCTTATAAAATACGCTGCTTTCCCAGTATGCCACTTTCGTGATATTCCACATCTACGGTATTCCACATCCACAGTATGCCCCTTTCACAATATGCCACATCCACAATATGCCACATCCACAATATGCCACATCCACAGTATGCCACTTCCACAATATGCCACATCCACAGTATGCCACATATATAACTTGCCACATCTACTACAGTATGCCACTTCCACATTATTCCAAATCCACAATATGCCACATCCACAATATGCCACATCCACAGTATGCCACATCCACAATATGCCACATCCACAATATGCCACATCCACAGTATGCCACATCCATAACTTGCCACATCTACTACAGTATGCCACTTCCACATTATTCCAAATCCACAATATGCTACTTCCACAAAATGCCACATTCAGAATTCATCACATCAACAATATACCACCTTCACAATATACCACATTCACAATATAACACATCCACATCCATCATATATTTGTGCCACTCCTACAATAAACCACATCCAAGGTACACCACACCCACAATATACCATTAGCAGTCTGTTCATATGTCTGTCTGTGTTTTGTTTCCGCTGTCAAGTTTCCTATCACCAGAGTGTTGTCTGCAACATCCCTTAGCCACTCACTGCTGCACCGATCTGTTTCACCCAGGGATGATATGTTTGTGCATTCACACTGTTCACTCAGTCTCAAAGGACCTTGACAGCATCTGCCTTGTCTTGCAGCAATTGACAGCCAAAAGGTGCAGAATCAGCCAGTCTATCTGCACATTCATTTACCAAGACAGTGCTTGCCCTGCAGAAAATATCCATATATCCAAAGTGTTGTTTGTCATCCGGATACCCTTGAACTTTCTATCCCATATTTCATATTTTAGGGCCTTCCTTTGAAGGACCAGAGAGAGCTGATGGCACAGCATGCAGAGATGTTTTTATCCCAGTCTTCATTCAGATCAAAATCAGGCTCCAGTTCCAGCTTGTCCCAGCCATCTTCTCGCAGAGCTTCTGTCAGTCTGGCAGAAGAGGAAGCCAGGAAAGCTGAAAAAGAGGACTGGTCTGAGAAAGGTGACAAGAAAGGTACATTTTTAATCAACAGATCATCACCATTATCGTCTGATTTCAGCAAACACTGTATTTTCATTTGTATAAGACGTGCAGTGAGGGCAGGGTACAGTGTCTGTAGGTGAAGGGCCCTCTATGTGGGGTCTTTATAGCCTTTCTTCACTGTTCAGCTGCCCTTTTATAGATCCCTCAATAGTCTTTACATTTCTTTGGATAGACGTCACTCGATAGTCTGGTCTTGTGCAGCAGCCTCACAAGTGCCAGGTTTTTTTCTGAAAGCTTTAAATTAGGCTTTTAGTGGGTCCTTGAAGCATTTGTTTGTTTGTTTGTTTATTTTCCTGCCACCATGAGAGCGTTATTCTTCTTCTATCTCATGGCATTGTATTCTAAGATGTTTTGTGACATTTAAATTAAGAAGCGTTAGTTTCTTCTTCATGAATAACTGTCAACAGAATTCCATAGCATGTGTGTTTGTGTATAGAGTAGGCCTGCACATATTTTAGGCTAGAAAATGAGATTCGATGACCAGTCCTCTTACTCGTTGTGTTTTCTTACCAGGAAATTCCTAGAAAATGCTAGAAATTGTCTGATACTCATTTGTTTGAGGCTAGACTAACATCGAAGCTTTCCTGACAAAACAAAGGATGTCACTTTTGAACCACCATCTCTTCAGGCAAAGGCACTGACCATTATGCCACTGTAGCTCCTAATTCTTGGTGTAAACCTGTAAAAGTAACCCCCCCCCCCCCCCCCCCCCCCCCCACCACCACCACCACTAGGTCACCTGTGAGAGAAAATCTGGTCATGAATTTAAATAATATTTAGCTCTCTCAGTCCCAAGCAGTCATTCTTTTCTTCCTCTTCTTCTTGTTGAGTGTTCATCCTTAAAAGAATGACTGGCATGTTGTATTGTGGTTTACAGCTAGGCTATAATATCTGCACCTTTCTGCAAACTCTTAATTATTTGTCTATTACCATGTGCTTGTAGAGGGAGTAATCTCCCTCGCCCCCAGTAAGGATCCCAGAACCTATACAGGTACAGGTAGTTACTTACTTTAAGGGTTTTATCTGAAGTTGCTTTTACTTAAAACTAATGCATTCTGTCAAAGGAAGAAGATGGATATGGCTCAGGCATATTTGCAGAATAGCTGATGACACTGGCAGGAAAAGCTCTCTGGTGGTTGACAAATGGAAAAAGTAGACTTGGACAACCTAAGGAAATCTGGATAAGGACAGTAGAAATCAATATGAAACGATGTAAAATTACATGGGATACGAATGCCTTATGTGTAAAAAAAAAACTTGAAGAAGGTATGTACAATATTGGGTCAACAGATGTTGAAATGTTATCCAAATTAGACAGCAAGACTTTTAGCGACATCTGTGATAGAGTGGTTGATATAACACTCAGACAAGATACAAAGAGCTGAAGGGCTGAGTAAAGTATATCATTCTCAGAGTTATCAGGAAATGTGTGATAAGTTGCATGGTAGCTAAATGGCTAAAGCTGATTGTTAATTACCTAAAGCTTATTGCCTCATAGCAACTTGCATCTGAAAACTGCACCACATGTAAACACAAATAGATAGAAAGGATTTCTTGAAGTGTGGGACTAAATCGCACACCATAAATTTGTATTTTACCTCATCCATACATAGGGTCCTGGAGCTACTCTTTATGTTATCTAGTAATTTGGGGCAATTATGAAGCCTCTTAAGTGTGACACAGTATAGTGAGATTTTGTCCGTGGGGTAGGACAGTCCTCAGCTTTCTATCATGTAGGAATCAAAACAGCACAGTGACAAGTTGCTTCCTATTAGCCCAAAGGATTTGGGTTTTCAAAGTGTATTTAGGTAAATTTTTGTGGTAGAAGAGAGCTCCCAAGTCAACACAATCTAAAATTGGTACCAGAAAATGGCCTGGTGTGTTTGGATGGCCAACAGAATGTTGACTACATTCCCCATCGAATGCTACCTAGTCTAAAATAATTAGTGTCAAACATATGCCCGATGTAGCATTGTTGTGAGAAAGGTCTTTTTTTTTTTCTGTCAGGCAATAAATTTGAACTTTAAAACATTGATGATGTATTGTTAAGTCATGTATAGTTAAGTCATGTATTGTAGAGTCATGTATTCTAATTTTGTATTCAGGAATCCTTAAAGACAAATCTGCCTCTACCAAAGACCTTCATGACACCAAAAGCATTCTTAAAACTGAGCCAATGAAAGCAAAATCCGAATCAGAAGTTCACAGCATCTTAAAGATGGAGGTGAAACACATCGTGGAGCCAGCCCCGGTCACCTCAGAACCACGGGGTATTTTAAAGAAGACTAAGTCTGAAGATATCAGTGTGATAGAAGGCGGTGATGATATTAAAGGCATCCTCAAACATACAGACAGTGAAGAAGAAGAATGCCAAGGCAGGCCAAGATCCCGATCAAACTCCCAGCCATTTGGAATCCTGAAAACAGAAGGGCTTTCTCAGGCTAGTGAGCATTCTGCTGAGATCAAGAGTATCTTGAAGGCACCGTCTCAAGAGAACGTGCATGATTCACAGACGATAAAGAGTGCCATGCGACGAGGGAGTATAGAGTCTGATATTTCCGTGACAGCAGCTACATCTGTGCTGAAAAGTGCCATGAGAACTAGAAACAGAAGCAGCATGGAGATTGATGACATTCAGGCTGCAGGGGCAGATGCCAAAATCCTCAGCCAGGAGGGTGATCTCAACTCTAACAATTCAGTCAAACATGTTGGTGTGAGCGTTCAATCATCGGAAGTTACCACAGACCATTTCTCCAGTTCAACCTATGCAAAGTTCACATCAGCAGCATCTACCACAGTCATCAAATCATCCAGTGGAGTTGAAAGTAGGACATCCTCAAGTACATCATCATTGTTATCATCATCAGTCACAACTAGTGTGAGTAGTCTTCAGATTCCAGAAGGTTCTGAAGATAGAGGGGGTCAGAGTGTCTCAGACGATGGAGAAAGTAGCTCTGGGGAGATTTTAGAAGGCACTCCAAGGACCTCAAAACTCAAGAGAAAGTCACGATTTTCTGACAGAAAAGCTCAAGCAGAAAGGTAAGGTGTCATTATTAATGTATTAGTCCTGTGTGTGTGTTCTTGTGTTTTACTGTAATTTGCTGTTGCCATTTTATTTGTTCTTACGCATTCTGCTCTTCTATCTCAGTCTCTATTTCTCTCTGTATGTCTGTCTGTCTCACTGTCTCTCTCTCTCTCTCTCTTTATTTTTAACTTTTTTCTTTCTTGCCATCATTTTTCTTCTTTCTAACATGCATACTTTCTTTCATTGTTTCCTTTGTTCTCTTATTTTGTCTGTGTAGTTTCTATGGCTCATTCCTTCTTGTTGGCTGTTTTCATCTTCATCTAAGCTGTCTTAATGTCTTCAAACCTTGTTAGTTGTAACATAACTCGTACCTAGTAGTTGTATATGTAACTGTTTCCCCACCATGGACAGTTGAATGAACAATAAAAAGTGTGAGAAAAGTAGAACAAGAAAGAGATTCTTTAACAGACAGTTTATCTGCTTCTGCCTTCCATGTCTTTCTTCTTCTTCTTCTTCTTCTTCATCTTCTTCTTCTTCGTGTTCACCGGCTGTAAATTCCAGTGGAAAGGTAATGGTTGTTCATCCATTTCTGGACTTTAGTCTTGTTTCCAGAAATTGAGTTTTGTGTGCACGCTCATTTTACAAATCTGGTTTATTTGTATGCAGACTATTGGTTCCTTGTCTCTCAGGCAGATGCACTCTGACTTTTAATTTAGTCGCCTTATGCGACATTCTTGTTAACGAGGCAGTGGGTCTACACTCCCCCTCCCCTCTTCCCCAAGAATGGGGCACTGAAACCAACATGGGGAATGTTTTTTATTTAAAAACTGAATAATGGTTCAGTTTCAATTTCTTCTGTTTTGAGTTTAGGAGTTTAACAATTTACCTAATAGAAGAGACATTTTCATTTCAAAATGTATCTTTAATATACAGCAATATTTTTGTGTTTATCATTGTCTTCTTCTTCTTCATTGATCCTTCTGTCAGAAAACTTACATCAGGAGGCCCGTAGCCTTTATGAAAGCTATCGTGCAATCTATATCCTCTCATGTACCATACAGTTTTGTCTTCAGTGTGGTTGGAACAGGCCAGATAGCGTCTCTGTTGTCAGCATACAGTTGACAGTGTTGGAGCACATGCGCAGCATTTTCGGGTGCCATGCTGCAGGGATACATCTCCGTATTTCCTACACCGAAAAATTTGAACATATGTTGACGAAATCTGTTGTGCCCAGTCCTTAGTCTGAATATAATACATCATTGTGATTATTGCCATTTTTAAAAAAATAATTATCGTCATCATCATCATCGTAATCATTCTGAGGCATTTGTGGGGGGGGGGGGGGGGGGGGGGGGGGGGGGAGGAATAGACCCACTGCTCCTGTGACATGCATGTCACAGAAAGTGACTCATTAGTGTGGTGTTTTCTTTGAAGTTATCATAGAAAGATATAAAACCAGGCGAAAAGTATATTAGCGAGCTACATAAAATAACAAACGCAAACAAAACGTGAACATTGCAGTTACAGAGCCCTCATTAGCACATACATAAATCAAACAAAACATGAACATTGCAGTTACAGAGCCCTCATTAGCACATACATAAATCAAACAAAACATGAACATTGCAGTTACAGAGCCCTCATTAGCACATACATAAATCAAACAAAACATGAACATTGCAGTTACAGAGCCCTCATTAGCACATACATAAATCAAACAAAACATGAACATTGCAGTTACAGAGCCCTCATTAGCATATACATAAATCAAACAAAACATGAACATTGCAGTTACAGAGCCCTCATTAGCACATACATAAATCAAACAAAACATGAACATTGCAGTTACAGAGCCCTCATTAGCACAGACATAAATCAAACAAAACATGAACATTGCAGTTACAGAGCCCTCATTAGCACAGACATAAATCAAACAAAACATGAACATTGCAGTTACAGAGCCCTCATTAGCACAGACATAAATCAAACAAAACATGAACATTGCAGTTACAGGGCCCTCATTAGCACAGACATAAATCAAACAAAACATGAACATTGCAGTTACAGAGCCCTCATTAGCACATACATAAATCAAACAAAACATGAACATTGCAGTTACAGGGCCCTCATTAGCACAGACATAAATCAAACAAAACATGAACATTGCAGTTACAGAGCCCTCATTAGCACAGACATAAATCAAACAAAACATGAACATTGCAGTTACAGAGCCCTCATTAGCACATACATAAATCAAACAAAACATGAACATTGCAGTTACAGAGCCCTCATTAGCACATAAATAAATCAAACAAAACATGAACATTGCAGTTACAGAGCCCTCATTAGCACATACATAAATCAATCAAAACATGAACATTGCAGTTACAGAGACCTCATTAGCACATACATAAATCAAACAAAACATGAACATTGCAGTTACAGAGCCCTCATTAGCACATACATAAATCAAACAAAACATGAACATTGCAGTTACAGAGCCCTCATTAGCACATACATAAATCCAACAAAACCACACGAATACACACAAATCTTTGAACTGACGTTTCCCGAAGCAGCCACATTGTTGTCTAGCCAATGGAATGAAGTTGGAGGACATCTGCCTGAGAACTGAGGGACCAACAGTCTGTTTACGGATAAGCCAAAGCTGTGAAATGGATGTTGTTGCAAAACTCAAGTTCTGGAGAAAGAAAAAGGCAATCAAAATCCAGGATTGAACGAACCACTACAAATGTCTTCTGAAGTTTACAGCCAGCGAACATGAGAAGATAAAGAAGTACACGGAAGTGATACCTCAATGTACACTGCTTTCCTAGATGAGTATAGACTATTTTAGCCATATTTGGCCTGAGCTGTTTAGGCTGATTTCCCCTGCAGTCTGCTGCGTCGGGATTTGAACACCCCTGGGACTTCATGAGTCATATCCTGGTTGGTAATCCAGGCGCAAAACTCAGATACCAGGTTCAACATTCTAAAAAGTTAAAGTTAAGGTGCCTGTGACGTCTACACAAAGTCATGGAACCAGTGCTTTGCAATCCTGTGTTGATAAAGGCGAAGAATTGCAACCATAGGGTTAACACAGCTGTCTGTTTCATTACCTAATTTTTACGGACATTCCCAGGGGTAAAGTTTTGCTTCATGCAACACTCGCTGCGGGCTAGCTACGGAAAGAGACCAAACCATATAGGTTAAAACCTTGTGCAATGTAGTCAGTTCTCCTCCAGGTTTCACCTCTCACTCTCTCTCTCTCTCTCTCTCTCTCTCTCTCTCTCTCTCTCTCTCTCTCTCTCTCTCTCTCTCCTTCTTTCTCAATCTCTCTCTCTCTCTCTCTCTCTCTCTCTCTCTCTCTCTCTCTCTCTCTCTCTCTCTCTCTCTCTCTCTCAATCTCCAATGTGCAGTCTGTAGGATTAACATCTCAAAGATGAAAAAGAAACTGTTACACGTCTGGGAAACCCCGTTCAATCTTATAGCCATATTGTAAAAATAGATGAAGAATCATTTTCCACGCCTTTAGGCATATTGGGCATATAGGGCTTGACCTATGTTTTTATACACCTATCGGCAGTTGGTGGGTGATGTGTTCAAGATCACGCTGGCCCCCTTTACTTCCCAGGACTTCACCTGGTACCCACTCAAGGCTAGGTCCACCTATGAGCCAAGGTCATTTCTAAAGTCTGGCCCCATCAGGACCCGAACCCAGGAGTACAGCCATATAGTACCGTTAAACTGGGGCACCACAAAACGGTTGTGAAGTAACCAGTAGTCCTGTGCGGATGTGCTGAGTTTCGTCCCATGCAGCGATCCTTTCGATTTCTTGTCCATATTTAATCAGCTAAACGAATAAACGTCTGTGCTGTAACACCCTATCCTATATCGACCCCTAGTTTATGTATTTATATCTCAGCGATATAAATTATGTTTTTCTGCACAATCGATCTTATTGTTGTTTGCGACATAATTTCTTGCCATTATCACAGCTTTGATGTTGTTAACGATTTCTGTACAGTAGGATTAGGTTTCATGTTATCTCTTCGCCTTGCAGAAAATGTAAACTGAAAGTTTTTATAATAGAGAGCCTGTTGTGACTTTCTCTGTCGGACCTAGATCGGGCAATAATGCCTTTCAAGTGTCCAGTAGAAGCGGCAGTAGCAAATTCCTTAACCGCACGGGACTGCACAGTACACTGTTTGGTCTATATGTTCGACTGTAAAACATCTCTTATATCACATCACTAGCTTCCCGTGTGGGTTCCGCGGTCCTGTTATAGGGAAAACAAGAATAGACCCATTGCCTACCCAAAAGCATGTCGTAAGAGTCGACTAATTGGAAGCTTTCTTCAAAGTCGAAGTGCATCTGCCTGAGAGGCAAGAAACCAGCATTCTGCATATAAGTCAGTCAGATCTGTGAAACGGATGCACACGTTACACTCAGGTTTTGGAAGAGGACTGCAGTCCAGAAGTGGATGAACAACCAGAACTTTCCGCCAGAGTTTACAGCTGGTGAATGCGAAGAAGAAGAAGAAGAAGAACTCACTAGCAGTGTGTAGCGAAGCTAGTAGACGTGAACAAATCGGTACTGAAAGAGTTGAGATAAAAACCTAAGACATTAAAACGTGTACAAGAATGATCTGTTCTGTACGACGTTAAGTATTTTAGTATAGACATGACATTGTTGTGTTTACTCTTAGTCTTCAACTGTTATTACCTTTGTTTGTTTATAGTAATATTTTGAAAATGCGTCTTCTTTTGCACTTATGAGGTGTAGAAGTGTCATACCTTTTTGTTATATTGGAGACTAACTAGGGTAGAATCGGACAAGAGATAGAGAAGCAGGAGGAGAGGGGGACCAGGGGGAAGAAGAAGAAGAAGATGATGATGATGATGATGGTAATAAGAAGAATGCAGAGGAGGCGTAGGTGGTGCAAGAGAAAAACATGAAGAGCGGGAAATGAGTGAAGAACACAAAGAATAGGAGAAGTTGAAAGAAAGCAAGA